GCAGAGGTTTAATATAGGAGTCCTATCCAGGGACATGTACTCTGCAGTCTCTTATTCTCTACACTTGGGACAGTTGTGGCCTTCTGTGTGCATCATACTCTGTTGGCATGAAGAAGCTTCACTGGTAAGAATTGAGAGATGCATTAGTATTTTCTCTACCTCCTGTTCCATTAGGTTCCATGAGCCTTGAGTGTAGAGGTACTATTATAGATGTGTCACTTAGGGCTAGACATCTCACAGACATTCTCTGTGTTTGACCAGTTGTAGAACTCTGTAAGAGTCTCCATCTGCTAAAGTTTTTTTTTTAAATAATGAAGTCAAATCAACGTTACAGTAGATATTTTATCTATCTATCTATCTATCTATCTATCTATCTATCATCTATCATCAATTATCTATCATCTATCATCTATCTATCATCTATCTATGATCTATGTCATCTTTTTATCATCTATCATCTATCATCAATTATCTATCAATTATCTATCATCTATCATCTATCTATCTATGTCATCTTTTTATCATCTATCATCAATTATCTATCAATTATCTATCATCTATCTATCATCTATCTATCTATCATCTATCTATCTATGTCATCTTTTTATCATCTATCATCTATCTATCATCTATCTATCTATCTATCTATCTATCTATCTATCTATCTATCTATCTAATCTAATCTATCTATCTCTTTTCTGAAGCAGAATTTGTAGCCCAGACTGGCACTGAACTCACTAAGTAGCCCAAGCTGGCCTTGAATTTCTGATTCTTTTGTCTCTCCCTTCTGAGTGCTAAGATTACAGGTATGCACCACCATACCTAGCTTAATATTTTACTTTTTACTTTGTGTGTGTATATGTGATGGAGAGATGGTGGTGTGTGTATCTGTGGTGAGCGAGAGAGAGAGAGAGAGAGAGAGAGAGAGAGAGAGAGAGAATGAATCAGAGGATAACTTGTCAGACTTGGTTCTCTCCTCCACTGTGTGAGTTCCAGGAATGGATTCAGGTTATCAGGCTTGGTGGCAGACATCTTTGCCCACTGAGCCATTTCACAGGTCCAGTATTTTATTTTTTAGCAAAAACTAATTGTCTAAATTAATAATGTATATCTGTGGAGTGTGATGAATCTGAAACCACTTACATCAGTTAAATAAAGGTTATAATGAACAAAACAGTGTGCTTTCTGAGAGACACATTTATCAAATCCGTGGACAAACACATGCAAACAGTTTAGCTCAGGGACATCTGTATTCTATGAGTCCTTATTGGAAGTTTGGTAGCTCCAGCCAGGAACAGAACAAACTGTTTTTTAATGTGCTCTCCCTTCTTCCTATTTCCTTAGTCATGAAAGAGAAATTGCCATAGATTTGCTTTAAAAGTAAAATTAAGTGAACAGTTCTGTTGTATTTAAACTTGGCAAGAAGCTAAAAAAAGAACATGGAGCAATGAATGTGAAGAGAATTTGCTGGGGTGGAGTCAGAATGGAAAGTTACAAGTGGTCTATTCATCCAAACCGAAGAGGACATCTTCAGTTTCCGGCATATAGGCATTCTGGGGCAGTCTGTGAAGAAGCTCCCAGTTTCTCAAAGGCAGAGATGTTGGTACACTGGGTAAGCAAGTTCTTCATTAGGAAGGGCTGCCCCACATCCAGGGCATCGCAAAATATTTGCCATCTCTGGCTGAAGTGTAAGTGCCAGTAGCTCCCCTAGACATCCTCTCCTCTGTCCCCATCCCATGATTTGCAAAGTCATCTAGAGGTACAAACTATTGCTAGTAGAGCACACTGTGTGGAACAATGGAGCCCAGCATGGCTAAACAAAGACATGAAATATAGTCACATAATCCACCATTGGAGTATTTTTTTTTTTAAAAAAAGCTCAGAGGTCATGAAGACTGAGGCGATCTTTACTAATATATGTATATTTCTTCACAGACTAAGCCCCAAACTCTCACAAACTCAGTTCAGTAAGTTGGAGTTGAAGTCACTTCACAACATTCCAGAAAAGGTCATTCTAGGTAAGAGGATAGAGTTTTGTTAAGAGTGTGCATCGGTCTTGGCTCTCTGTTTCCTAGCCATGACACCTGGGCAGCTTTTCCTAAGAAAGCAACAATGTTTAGCTCACACTTTTTAACCTATAAACCATTTGTGGTACTGTGCACTCACATGTTGGCCATATTTGCCAACTATTAGCATTGGTGCTTGTTAAATACTTTCAAATGATTAGAACTCTTCCTCTATCCCCCTCTCCTCCTGCTTCCACCAGGTGGGTCCCAGGGATTGAACTCAGGTTGTTAAGCTCAACAGTAGCAAGTACTTTTACCTGCTGAGCCACCTCACTGGCCCCCATCTTTCAAGACAGGGTTTTACTCAGTAGCCCAGGTTGGCCTAGAGCTCTCTATGTAGCCCAGGTTGATCTCAGAGTAGCTATGGAGCCTAGGCTAGCCTTGAATTCTTGATTCGCCCGCTACAGCCTCTCAGACTCTTTGATCACAGGAGTGCACCACCATGCCCTGCTGACTAGAACTATTTCAGGGCAGAGGAAGTTAGGTAAAATTCTGGGTTTCGAATTTAAGGAGTCCTAACTACTTCAGCAGTTAGAAGCTTTATTGTTAAGTTGCAAAGGTAAGCAGTATTTCCAGCTGCTCCCTCCCAGTACAACGCTGAAGAGTCATCTATCCCATCAGACTGCATGTAGGCTTTCCATGACTTCTTTTCCTCTCAAGAAGTTTCTATGATGTTTATGATGTCTACCTTCTCCTGGATAAAAATGTATGAGGGGCTACACTATAATTATAATCCAAGCAATGTACTCTCTGCCCCTTTGAGGAAATCCCATCCAGCCCCCAGTCCTCTAAAGCCAATTCTGTCTGAGGTACTATTTTTTTTTTCAACTTTCACTTTTCTTTATTTTATATCAATTTGTAGAACTACTCAGATTTAGTTGTCGTTAAATTTAGAGACAAGAATACGTTCTTTTTTTTCCAGCCAATGAATGATATGTAACATATACCTGAGGTACTATTTTTATCTTTATTTTTTCAGTGTGTATTTCTGTTGATTTTTTGTGCATTTCATACAAAACATCTTAATCATCTTTTACCCCCACCCCCATCCACATTTCCCCATAATACCCCATACCAGATTTAATGCATTCTGTCATATATGTTAGGGCCTATTGAGTCAAGTTTTCCTCCCAGATGTCCCTCATTGCAAATTCATCCACTGGAGTCTAGTCAGCCCATCTAGTGTCTCTCCTTTAAAGAAGATCAACTCTCCCTCACCAGAAGTAATCAGCTGCCAATAGTTCTTTGGCTAAGGTTGGGGTCTGTTGCCCATTTCCTCAGTCCAACGCTGTGTTTTTTCTGATTGACCTGCATGAGTCTTGTGCATGCTGTCACTGTTGTTGCAAGTTCATATGAGCAAGTTCACAGAGGCATGGAAGACTGAAGTTTCCTTATGATCATGCACCAACCCTGGCTGAGGTACTATTTTTAAAAGTTTTTTTTTATGTGTATGCATGTATTGTGTGCATGTATGCAAGTGCATCTGTGTCATACAGTGCCCATGGAGGATAGAAAAGGGCATTGGATTCCCTGGAACTGGAGTTACAGATGGTTGTTAGCCATCATGTGGGTGCTGGGATTGGAGTCTGGGTGTTCTGCAAGAACAGCTGGTGCTCTTAACCGCTGAGCCATCTCTCCAGCCCTGGTACCATTTATAATAAACAATAGTATCCACAGGAAGAACAGAACTGAAATATTGCCAGTATACCATTTGTTAAAACAATATTATTTCTGAGATAGCCAAAAAGGCCTGACCATCCAAATAATTCTTATTCTCTTGTTAATGCAATCCAAGAATTTAAATTTTATATTGTTCTTTCTTGCTGATTCTTTGAGAAAGGAAGGCATTTTACCTGTGTAGGGCTGGCAATTCATTTCTCCATCTCTTTCTTCTGTGGGTGGCAGGCTTTACTTCTAGGGTGGCCTTTGGACACAGAAAGTTCTGGCTTCATTATAAAAATAAGGGTTATCTCATGGGAATTACTCGTACAGTATCAAGTACAGATTGAGTCAAGAACAAATGAAAACACCTACCACACGGATATAGTTTCTGTTGGGGTGAAAAATCTTATGTAATTACTATGCTATGAAACTGAAGAATGTCGTTGAGGCTAGAGCACCTTGCAGATGGTTCTGCTCCAGAAGGCAACGACTGGCCAAGTACAAGCAAGGGACTGAACTTCAGCTACAGAATATGAACTGTACCGGGTCAAGGAGAGAGTGACCTTATAGGGAGCAACTGTGTAAACTGCACCATTTCTGGGTTATTGTGCTTGCAATTTGCTATATTAGAAATAATTCTCAGACTGTAGTTTTCTAGTCATTTCTATTTTTCTTATACTTAAAAGTCAGTCTAGTTGCATAATCTAAAAGGATTATTTTGCATTATCTTCTGAATCACTGGAAACTTATTTATCTTGTTCCTAAAAACTAAGAAAGATGTTACAAAATTTTACAATTAGCTTTTGATGTTTTACAAGTGAAAAAGCTGAATTCTTCACAGATTGCCCACCATCCCCAAGGTCGTGAACAGACAGAGTGTGCAGCAGACAGCAGACCACTATGCATGGTCTCAAGTCTCCCTAGGTGTCTGAAGTATATCTCATCCCTCAGTGAACCAACCTGCAAAGTAACATGACAACCTAGGCAGCAGGGTCAGCTTTAGCAGAGAGCACTCGCCTTTGTTTCACCTTCTTGGGAAATCTCAGCTGGATGTAAGGATTTACATGGCAAATGGAGAAATAACACAACAAAAATGAATATTTTTTGGCATATAGCAGCAGGTTCTAACTTCTATGAAATCCATATGGTTAAAGGGTTAATAAAGAAGATTAGCATTTCTTCTTAAAATGTTACTGTTGATGGGTGGGTTCAAATGCTTCAAGGAATGGGGAGTTCCATTGTAAGCAATTAAAAACAAAAATGACATTAGCCTTGAACAACTGATCTTAATAGTTTATTTTTGTTAAGAATGTTTTCTCAGTAATTCAAACAACTGATTTTGTAACAGTGAATGATAAGCTAGTTAGAGCTAGAAAAGTTAACACAGCATTATCTTGAAATTTCAAGAGGAAAAGATAGTTCATTGGATGTTCACCCATCTTTCTGAATAGAAAACTGTAACAGGTTCTTTCATATATTTGAAATGTAAATGTATTTTAATAAAGAAAATTTCATTTTCTGCATCTAGATATTTTTTACAGTAAAAGGTCGCACGTGGAGTGTAGGATGCAGCTAGAAAAAAACGCTTAGTGTAAATGTAAAAAGAAACTAGCTTTTCCACATGAAAGAAAACCAATGAGCACATAAATTCAACATGATTGTGATGACTAGAGGCAAAAGCACAAAGTTTATTTTCCACTTCTTGTTTGGCACATATATTAACAAACTTTCAAACATCAAACGATTTAAGATCAATATATACTAAAACTATCACAATAATAAAATGCCTAAAGCTTATGACCATCTTAAAAGCCCAATTCCCATATGAATTCCATAACCAAACACATCATCTATGCTGTGAGAGCTGGTCTAAGCACCATCTTTCAGGATTCCCCAGAATTCGTTAAGTATTCCAAAATTCACTCATTTTGAATGCCACAGTTCCCTACTGAGTTTGGTGGTTCTTCTGAGCAGGCCTCCATTTATGAGAACACAGACATACACTCATCACAACTTTGAAAAGAATGGAAGGCCTTCATACATGTCTGTTTTTAACTTTATCCAATCATTGATTTTCTGCAGAGTTGTTTTTTCTTGACTTAATATTTTTGCAACCTTTTTCATCTTTTGTTCGTTTCTTTCTATGTACTTCAATCCTTCCAGTTGCAGCTGGTCCAGCTTTTCATTTCGACTTTCATCTAGAGGTATGTTTTCACACATGACAGGATTGAATCTGAAATATGTGTCAGGAGGCAACAGACCATCAAGCATTATATGAACTTCTGTTAAAACAAAAATGGAGAAAAAGTAGGTAAGAAAAGAGGATACAAGGTCAAGTGTTCTGGAATGATTCATTAAGTTTCTCTTCACTTAAAATCATTTTAGGCACATTACAAAGATTTGTTTGTTTTACCATCAAACTAACAGTACGAGCAAGAAATCCACAGTAAGATTCAAACTGAAAACTGAGATTCTCCTCCCAAACACTTCACAGTCTACCAAATTCCAAAACTTGCTTAACTACATTATTTTCCCCGATGAAGTGCTTTCCAACTTAACTTTTGTTTTTCAGTTTGGGGGATCATCTTTAGTGAGCTATAATTTATACACAACAATATTCACCATTTTCAATTGTGTTATTTAGCAATTAAAATTATTTTGTTATTTTTATTTTATGTGTACAGTGTTTGGCCTGCATGTGATATAAATGCACCACGTTCATGCAATGCTCACGGAGGCCAGAAGAGGGCAAGAGATCCCCTGGAACTGGAGTTACAGACAGTTGTTAGCTGCCATGTGGGTGCTGAGAACTGAACCTGGGTCCTCTGCAAGAGTAGCCAGTGTTTTTAATTACTGAGACATCTCTCCAGCCACTTGACACACTTTGATAACAGATAAGCAAATCATGAGCATTCCCATCACCCTAAAAGGTTCCTGCATCTTTTCACAGCGAGCTCTCTCCTTCTCACCCTTTGTCATTTTGAGAATTCCATACAACAGAATCATGTTAGCTGTCTTACTTCCCCTCTTGATTCAGCCTTATGTATATTTATCATTTAATCAGTAAATGTTTATATATTAGACTGGATCATATGGAATTGCGATTTTTGTATTCCATAAACAGTTCATGATTGGCAATTACATATGCTTCAATGTAATTCTCACATTTCTTTTCATAGTTAACTGTTTGCATCTAAACTAGAGATTAAGTTCAATGAGGCTGCATTTTATGCCTTTTGAAAACTCCTAGAGTCCATCATGTCTACTTGAAGTACAGATTTAAGCAGTGGAGACTGGTTGATTAAAGCCTGCTGTGTCTGAGCAAGTAAGAAAAGTGCAGTGAATCATTACAGAAATACAATTAAAACCAAAAGGAGAAACCAAATCACACTGTAAGACTGACTAGTATTAAAAAAAAAAAAAACAAGAGATAAGAAGTGAGGTGAGGATGTGGAGAAGAGACCATAGTGCATCACTGGTAGGAATGCAGGCTGGCACAACCATTACGCAAAACACTACGAAGGCACCTTGAAGAACTAGAAATAGAACCATCACCAGAGCCAGAACCCACTCTGAGCACATATTTTGAAGAAATGAAGTTAGAATCTTGAGATATTTGTCCTCTCATGCTCACTGCAGCATTATTCCCAATACTGAGATATGTATTCCAGTGTGTATCTCACATAGAGTGGGATATTATTCAGCTTTAAGACATAATCCTGTCACCTGCAACAACACAGATCAATCTGAAGGACATTATACTAATTGAAACGAGCCAGATACCAACAGGCAAATACTGCATGCTATTTGTATGTAGAATCTAAAATAATCAAGTTTACAGAAACAGAGGGTAGAATGGTGGTTGCCCTGGAGTTTGGGGATGGGCAAGGCATTGGTCAAAGTGTATAAATTTTCAATTATTACAGCTGAATAAATAGTAAAGTTCAAATATAAGCTTAGTAACTATAGTTAAATAATAGCATAAAATATATTTGAAATTTGTTAAATGTTTTCAATATATATACACACAATGGTAACCATGTCAAGAAATAGTAATATTAATTAGCTTGAGTGTGGCAATCACCACACAAAATGTTCTTATATTAAAACACCAAATTGGGGACTGGAGAGATGGCTCAGCAGTTAAGAGCACTGGCTGCTCTTGCAGAGGACCCAGGTTCAGTTGTCAGCACCCACATGGCAGCTAACAACTGTTTGGAACTCCAGTTCCAGGGGATCTGATGCCCTCTTCTGATCTCTTCAAGCACTGTACAACACAGGTGCACTTACATACAGGCAAGACACTCGCAAACATAAAATAAAAATAATAGTGAACCAAATTGTACACATTAACTATAAACATTTTTGTCAGTCATAACTCAATAAAGTGAAGGAAAAAGAATATCTTACTAATTTGGCAAAATTCCAGATAGCAAAAAAAAATTCATTTATCAGGTTTTTGTAGGTTACTCTTTAAAGGATAAAAGTCCTTAATAGAGAGTTGAAGAACTTCACTTAGGTTAATGATTTAACCAATAGCATGCTGATATATATAGAGAATGACGTAGAAAAAACTTTGGGGGCTGGAGAGATGGCTAAGTGGTTAAGAACACTGGCTGTTCTTGCAGAAGACCCAGGTTTGAATCCCAGCACCCACACGGCAGCTAACAACTGTCTGTAACTCCAGTCCCAGGGGATCCAACAGCCTCTTCTGACCTCCATGGGCATTGCATGACATGGATGCACTTACCTTCATGCAGGCAATACACACATACACATAAAATAAAAATAACTAAAATTATAAAAAAGAAAAATAAAACTTTTAAATTCTAATTGAAAAAAATTAATTATACATTTCAGGACTTAAAAATAAAACAGTAATAAAGGAGGTCTAAAACTAAATCCCAAAGCTAGAAATTCAACACACATTCACCAAAGGCTCACTATGTGCTAAGAACTGGAATCAAATAGTAAACTGGACAAGGCAAGATAAACAGGCTATGCTCTAGTTTGCATTTTTTTTAAGGTGCTGAGGGTCAATCTCAGGGCCTCACACATGGTAGGCCACCACTCTAACACTGAACTAAACCTCTAGCCCTTTCCCTTGCATTCTATGGCACAGAGAGATGAGCAATAAACAAATCATACATCTATACTCATAAGGAGACAAATGCTTTGAAAGGCAGAGGGGAAGAGAGAACAGGCTGGGTAAGTAGAAGTGGCTGCAGTGAGATGGTGAGAAAGATGGAGAAACAGTCAGGAAAGGTCTCCTGAGGAACAGGCATTGGAGCAGAGACCTGAATGAAGGAAAGACCAAACAAGTATGGGGCAGAGAGCCTTAAAGAGACAGTACAGCAACTGCAGAAGCCCTGAGGCAGGTGAGTTCTTAGCAAGTATGGAGAACAGTAAGAATTAATGTGGTAAGATACACTTTGAGAGAAAGAGATGGATTCAGGGGCTGGGTTTTGTAAGGTCTGGTAGGTCATAGTGGAAGACGGGTTCTGGACTTTGTTTTACAAGGACTGAATGAAGGTCTACAGGGTTTTGGGAAAGGGAAAGATTATTTATATTTTAAGTAGCCCACTTTGGCCTTTCTAAGAAGACTATACCAGAGTGGCAGCAAGAGTAGAAACAAGAATGTATTCTAATGCCAGTTTACTTCCACATCAGTACATAATCCCATTCTTTAAGTCCTTTAACCCTCTCACTGTTATTATTTGAACATCTGTGTTTTTTGTTGTCATTGTTTGTTTTTGAAACAGGGTCTCCCTGTAGCCCCAGCTGGCCTGGAACTCAGTATGTAGACTAGGCTAGCTTCAATCTCACAGAGATCCACCTACCTCTGCCTCTCAAGTGCTGGTATTAAAAGCGTGCACCACTAAGTCAAGTATGACCATTTGAACCAATAGGAATCCTTTTGTTGTTTTTCCCTTTCTTAACTGGCAAATCTCCACCTAAGTTTTTGTGCCATATCTGCTTCAGATACATCTCCAATGCTAAGGCAAAGGTGGACTACCTTCCAGGAGAGTACTCTCTTAGGGTCACTGAACGAGCAAAAGGTGAGGAGCCCCCATGTGCTTCCCAAGGCCACAATACAGGTACAACATACCTTTTCATAGTTAAGATCATATTTTACCAAAAATGAAATACTGTGAGTTGAAGTATCTTAAGGCAGCACAGAAATGGACCAACCTTCTGTATCTGTAGCACTATTGATCACATTAGAAAGTTTGGTCTTCAAGCTTGTGTATGTTGCCGAGTTTCTGACGTCACTATCATAACGTCCAGTGCCCAGGGATACTATGCACTCTAATGGGGCATCTGGCCAGAGACATTTACACTCATGCATGGCCAGTGCTGAAGGGTTATTCAGAAGCAAACCTCCATCCTGAAAAATACAAAAAGAGAACACAATTCAATATTTACTATAGGGAAAAATCTAACAATGTAGTAAACCAAACAAGTGATTAAAACAGTGTTCCCTAAAATGAATTCACTGTATGTACTACAACTACATAACACACTAGCTGAAAGGATATTTTATATTAAGCTTTCCTTTCCTATTTTGAACAATTGTTTGGATTGCTTTGTATATGCTGCTCAAAAATACTGAACAGGCCAGGTGTGGTGGCCCACACCTTTAGTTCCAGCATTCAGGAGGCAGAGGAGGAGGACCTCCGTGAAATTCAGGCCAGCCTGATCTACATAACAAGTTCCAGGCCAGCTTGGGGCTACTTGGAGACCCTGTTTCAAAAAACCAAAACAACAACAACAAAAACAAATCCTGAAATGAACCAAAATACTTTAAAAATATTTTTACATTTATTTATTTTATTTTATCTTGTTGGTCCCTAAGCCAAACAACCTTGTAAGACACACTAGGATAATTGGTGGTCAATACAGCGTATGGTCTAGTAACATAAAAATCTAGCAGACAAGAATGGTGTTCCTACCAAATAAAACTTGTTTTTCTCTCACAAATTCAGCATAACCAAATTAACTTTAAATTGATTAAAATTTTAACAATGTAATTTTAAGGTACCATATTCACAGTGCAGATATGACCTAAATGAAGTGCTGACATTTTGCACTTCTATGTATTTATCAATATTAATATGATTCTGAAGAATTCAAAAGCAAAAAGTATGCTGATAAAGTTCTATAAAATGTGCCAAAATAAAAGTATTTAAATCTACGGTCAAACTGTAGCAGAATGAATCAGAGAAATATATTTAAATGTATTTCATTACTGGCATATATACTGCATTTAAAATCTAGGGAAATACATCCAACTGAAGACAGTTTAAGTGACTACTTAGGCCTTTTCATGCATAGCTTCCATATATATATGGGATATAGTCTCTTGAGGATATATGTTTTATAACTTTATGATTGTACTTTCTTCCCGTATGCCATTATAGTTTGATTTTTCCGAGACTACTTCTGCAAAGTTTCTAATTTTGATGAAGTCTAATTTATCAAGTTATTTTCTTTTACAGTGTATTTTTGGTAGAAGTCTTTTTTTTTCAATATTTTTATTTTATGTGTATGCATGTATTGCCTGCATGTATGTAAGTGCACCCGTGTTGTGCAATGCCCACGGAGGAAAGAGGCTGTGAGATCCCTTGGAACTGGAATTATGGACAGTTGTTAGCTGCCATGTGGGTGCTGGGATTTGAACCTGGGTCTTCTGCAAGAACAACCAGTGTCCTTAACCACTGAACCATCTCTCCAGCCCCTAATTGGTAGAAGTCTTAACACCAGGTAAAGTTTTGCTCCTGTCTCTTCTAAAAGTTTCATAGTTTTGTTTTGCATTTAGAACTACATTCCATTGAATAATCTTGATATAAGTTGTGAAGTTTAAGACAGAGTTTTTGGTGTGTGTCTATGTGGGAGAGAAAAAGAGAAGGTGAGGGAGTAACAGAGCAGTGGCTATTCTTAATACAATTTGTTGAAAAGATTATACTTGGTGCTGGGCAGACAGTGCCTGCTGTGCAAACACGAGGACCTGAGTTCAGATCCCAAACACCCAGGTGAAAGCCAGGCAAGGCAGCAGATGTGGTGTCTGTAACTCCTGGGGGAGAGGGGAAAGTAAACAAGGCAGCCTCCTGGAGCTCACTGGCCAGCCAGTCAGTCAATTGGTAAGCTCTGGGTTCAGTGAGAGACCTTATCTCAAAAAACAAGAAGAAGAACAAAGATACCTGCTGTTAACCTCTGGTTTTCACACACATGCACACATACAGTGTCTCTTTTTTGAATTGCTTTTGTATCTGTGTCAGAGATAAAATGGCCATATGTATTTAGGTCTGTTTCTAGACTCTGTTCTATGGGCTTACACACACACGTACACATACAGACACATATATACATGTAATATACACATATGACATATTCATGATTACTGAACTTGTATAGCAAAATTTTTAAATGTGTACTGGGATTCTTTTAACTTTATTCTTTTTTTTTTGAACATGATCATTTTAGCTATTTTAATTCTCTTTTCTTTCTATATAAAATTTTAAACCTGGTAACTAAATAAACAAGCATCCTACTGGTGTTTTTACTGATCTCACATAGTATCTACAGATGACTTGGGACAACTGACATTTTTACTCTGCTGGTCTTTCATTCTCTACACATTTTCCATTATATGAATTTTCTATAATTTTTGTCAGTCTTCTGTTGTTTTCAACATATAGATTTCATACATGCTTCTTATATGTGCATCTAATATTTAGTTGTGAAACTATTATATAATATTGCTTTATGATAAAAATTTTTGCTTCCAGCTATTCATCACTTACACACAGGAACAGAGGTCATTCTCCTAGCAGTTTCCTTACTTGGTAGAAAAGCATCTCCCCCTACCCCTTCTACTATCAGTATTAGTGTTCAGCTTGAAGGCCCCATTAAAAACAAGTATGCTATTGTTAACAAAATTTCTTGTAGAGTTTGAAAAGAAACACCCCTTACCTCCCTTACCTCATCATGAATCACTATGCCTCAGTTATTTTAGGAGGAGTGGTAGTTTTGTAAATCACAGATAATGATAAAGTCTGTTTTGTGCATTCTAACCTAATGTTTTCAAATGCATATCTTAATACTCTAGCATGAGATCACACTAGAAGGCAGCCATAGTAAAATATGCAAATACTATCCACATTTCCCAGAGAAAGATAACTGGTTCTTTAGGCTGTAGGGTTTATTATGGCACACTTCAGTTGTCATTTATGGAGAACCTTGTAATATTTTTGAGATTATAGAGAAAGACAGGGCCACTGGATTCTGAGAACAGCAGTTTGGTTCATCTTTCCATTCCTAACTCCATTCTACCTTCTAGGGTGAGTTGTTAGCTGTCACTTCCAATTTCCATCTCTCTGAATTGCCAATCACTACTCTTTACTACATGTCTTCAAAAGAACATGTTCATGTTTCCATGATGTGAGATTCATAACAAAAGGATATTCTTTTAAAGGGCATCTCCTGTTGGGCATGGAGGTATACATCTGTTATTCCAGCATTCTGGAGGCTGAGGAAGGAGGACTATGAGTTCAAGGCCAGCCTGGGCTACATAGTAAGACCCTCTATTAAAAAAAATAAACAATGAGATAGTAAGGTGGGGCGGAAATAGGGGATGGGGCCTGAGTATGATCAAATTATACTGTATAAAATTTTCAAAGAATCAATAAAAATATTTAAAAACAAGACATTTCTTTTTGTGTGTTTTTAACTGAATTTTTGTGTACTTCATACACAACATCTTAATTATCTTTATATGCCCTTCTCCATCCATACCCCCCCATAGCCCCCCACAACTGGATTTCATACATTCTGTCATTTGTGTTAAGGCCTATTGAGTCAAGTTAGTGCCCCTGATACCCCTCAATGCAAGTTCATCTACTGGGGTCTAGTCAGCCTATCTAGAGTCCCTCCCTTAAAGATCAGCTCTTCCTTACCCAGGAGTAATCAGCTGCCCAATGTGGTTCTTCAGTCAAGACTGGGGCCTGCTGCCCATTTCCACACAGTCCTGTGCTGGGTTCTTGTCTGCTTAAGTTTGCATGGGTCTTGTGCATGCTGACACCATTGCTATAGGTCCATATGAGCAAGTTCCTAGAAGCCTGTAAGTATTTCCATATGGTCCTGCACCTCCTCCCCTCTTCTGACCCCTCTTCTACAATGGTCTCTGAGCCCTGGGTGTGTGAAGTTTAATATAGGAGTCCTGTCTAAGGACCCATACTCTGAAGACTCTTATTCTCTATACTTTGGCCATTTGTGGCCCTCTGTTCATTGCCCTCTGTTGCATCAGGAAGCTTCGTTGATGACAGTTCAGAGACTCATCAGTATTCTCTCTACCCCTTGTTCTACTATGTTCCGTGAGCCTTAGGTGTAGAGGTTCCATTGTAGATGTGTTACTCAAGGCTGGGCATTTCACAGATACTTAATCTCTGTGTGTGACCAGTTGTGGAACTCTGTAATAGTCTTCATCTGTTGCAAAAGAAGCTTTCATATCAATAGATGTACTGGACAACCTGATACACCTGAGAAGGGGGGAGATAAACTGAGGCATTTCCTCCATTACACTGGCCTGTGACCACATCTCTGAGGATTTTCTTAATTGCTAATTGATGTGGGGGCCCAGCCCATTGTGGGAGGTGCTACCACCAGCAGGTGGGCTGGGGTTATATAAGAAAGCAGGTTGCACGTAGTTCAGAGAGCAAACCAGCAAGCAGCATTCTCAATAGTCTGTGCTTCCTACCTCCAGGTTCCTGCTTGAGCTCCTGTTTTGGCTTCCAGAGATGGAAGACTGTACTGTGAGCTGAAATAAACCCTATTCTCTCCAAGTTGCTTTTTGGTCAGTGTGTTATCACAGCAACAGAGAAGCAAACTAAAACAATAGGTAAACATTTGTTCATAAACTCTTAACATCCCAAGGCACAGCCTTTCCATTAGTATCTCTTGGTGGCTGAAGAATATCTCTTTGTGGCTGAGGTGTGCCTGAGTAGTGACAGTCTCTGAGACTAAACTACAGAAAACTGGTTTACAAAAGGCTTAAATCTGGGATAAAGGGAAAAACACTTCCCCTTGTTTGCTACCTGACTGATGGCCGAGTCCAGGAAGAGGGCAATTTGAATTGTGAACCTAGCCAGCACTCACAGAGGTATTATACTTATTTTGGTTACTGAGTCAACAGATTGAATGTTCAGTGTATAGCTTAGTGATGCAGTTAAATGCTTATCATTCCTAAACTCAAAATAGCATGGCACAGAATATACAGCACACAGTAAAATACTAAACTACACAAGTACAAGTTAAAGATGTGAGAGACTAGAGAGGGGGTTCGGGGTAGAAAGGGAGAGATTGATTCTCTACCACCAAATTTCAGTTCAT